CACCAACTCACACCAGTGTGTACAGCCAGAAAGCTTTTTTTGCCTGCAACGCTTTTTGGAATAACTATGCAACTCTGAAATGTACTGGGGCCACCTGATCAGTTCAGGAAATATGTAGTCAGTTTTGCTAACAGGGTACAGGATATGTACAGGTACATATCCTGTAAAAAAGGGACGCGGTGGTTCAGGGGCTAAGACTCTGAGCTTGTCGATCGAAAGGTCGGCAGTTCGGCGGTTCGAAACCCTAGTGCCATGTAGCAGGATGAGCTCCCATTACTTGTCCCAGCTTCTGCCAACCTAGCAGTTCGAAAGCACGTAAAAAATGCAAAGAGAAAAATAGGGACCACCTTTGGTGGGAAGGGAACAGCGTTCCATGCGCCTTTGACATTTAATCATGCCGGCCACATGACCACGGAGACGTCTTCGGACAGTGCTGGCTCTTCGGCTTTGAAACGGAGATGAGCACCACCCCCTAGAGTCAGGAACGAGTAGCACATATGTGCGAGGGGAACCTTTATCTTTTACCTTACAGGATATGATCATAGTCCAATTGAAAAAGATGTGAAAATCAGAACCAGCTCCTCTGTTTAAAACTTAATCTACCTTGTTCTCTGGTACTGTTACTTCTATTAAAATCCAGGAGGGGGAAAAAAAACAAGAACTGTGGATCAGCCTGGAAATCTGCCCCCTTGTGGAAAAAAAACAGAGTGGATGTATCCCAATGTTTTCCAGAGATAATGTTCCTACCGTTATACTGCTTGAATCCTGCATTTTTTATATTCACATTTATCTTGCTATTCTGTTCTCTAAGGGCTTTCAGGGGAAAGGAAAACCAAGGAGCAACGGTGGAAAACATACTATACCTGGTGATGTCATATAGAAAACTGCATGACTTTTTACTGCTAGCTGCCAAGGAAGGGACAGCGGGAGAAGGAAGAATGAATTGCGTCATTTTTGTATGCAAGAGATAAACCCAGTTTTAATTCTTGGCATCTGCAAGGTGGCTTGAAAAGATTCCCATGTGAAATCTTGGGAGAGCTAAATGGAATTGTAACCCTCTACCCTCTAAGGATTGCCCTGACAGAATAACAGAGTTGGAAGAGACCTTTGGAGGTGTTCTAGTCCAACCCCCTGCTCAAGCAGGACACCTTATACCATTTCAGACAAATGATTGTCCAATCTCTTCTTAAAAACCTCCAGTGTTGGAACATTTTTGAGATCTCGCTGTCTTCAAATCTCGCTGTTTGAGGAAGCTGCATAACGTTCCCAGAGACTCTTCCCATCCTGCTTATAATCTTTTTGGACTGTTGTCTTCTGGCAGAAGATACAGAACAATTAAAACTCGGACCACACATTTTCTGAATAGTTTTTATCCCAGAGCTATAATTGCACTCAACAATGAACTAATGGGCCACCATCAGTGAGCTGTTGGACAGCATTACGTGGTCTGTTGTGTGGATGTTTGGGTGGTTTAGGGGTGGGGAATTTGTGGTGGGTGGATGAGGGTGTTTGGGGATTGTTATGTGTGTTGGATCAGGTCTTTGGGTGTTAAGTGAATTTTTGTGTATACACGTACAATGACAATAAAGTTGTTGTTATTATTATTGGTTAATCTTTAGTGAGATTCACAGCCTTTGAGGCTGGTTAATAGCTCAGCAGCTCGAGTCCTAACCAAGGACCTAGGAACTGTTAAGGTATCATCGGAGGATGTAAGCTGTTCCGAGTAAAGTGTTTTTTTGTAGAGTCAAAATGTTCCAGTCCGGTAAATTTAGAATTTCTAAATAGCGGGGTAGCCCTTTGGGTATTGCTCCGAGGGCTCCAATTACAATCGGGACAACACACGATTTCTTCTTCCACAGTCGCTCAACTTCAATTTGCAAGTGCCGGTACTTTGTGATTTTTTCTTGCTGCTTATCTTCAATTCGTGCATCACCAGGTATTGCAATGTCAATGAACCATACTTTTTTCTTTTCAACTATTGTTATGTCAGGTGTGTTGTGGACCAAGTGCCTGTCAGTCTGAATCCTGAAGTCCCACAAGATCTTGAGTTTCTCATTCTCTAAAACTTTCTCAACCTGATGTTCCCAGTGGTTTTTGCTGTACTCAAATCCAAACTTCTGGCACAATTTCCAGTGAATGATCTTAGCAGTGCAGTCATGGTATTATTATTATTATTATTATTATTATTATTATTATTATTATTATTAATTATTATTAAAATCTTTAGTGAGATTCACAGCCTTTGAGGCTGGTTAATAGCTCAGCAGCTCGAGTCCTAACCAAGGACCTAGGAACTGTTAAGGTATCGTCGGAGGACGTAAGCTGTTCCGAGTAAGGTGGTTTTTTGTAGAGTCAAAATGTTCAAGTCCAGCAAATTTAGAATTTCTAAATAGCGGGGTAACCCTTTGGGTATTGCTCCAAGGGCTCCAATTACAATTGGGACAACACACAATTTCTTTTTCCACAGTTGCTCAACTTATTATTATTATTTACAACTTCTTGGGCAAGTTGCAAGTTGTTGTTCCATTGATTAATTGTTCTAACTGTCAAGAAATTTCTCCTTAGTTCTAGGTTGCTTCTCACCTTGGCTGGTTTGCATCCATTGCTTCTTGTCCTGCCTTCTGGGCTTTTAAGGGATAGGTTGACCTTCTCTTCTTTGTAGCAGCCCTTTAAATATTGGAATACTGCTATCATATCACCCCTAGTCCTTCTTTCATTAAACTAGATATCTCAATTCCCACAACCGTTCTTTGTATCGCCTAAAGTCTGTCCCTTGGGAATCTGGCATGTTACAATAGTGTTTCTCAACCTTAACAACTTCAAGATGTGTGAACTTCAACTCCCAGAATTCCCTTGCCAGATTTGTGAACTTCAACTCCCAGAATACTGAGTTAAAGTCATCTGTCTCTTAGCTACCGTAATCCACATTTTGTTTCTCAGTGTCTTTGATGGAATCTGGATTTTAGGAATCCCAGATTGCAAAAACACTCCTGGGGCTGAGGTCACACTAAGAGGATAGATCTCTCTGGAAACGTCAAGGTGGATGCTGCTAACCAGCGAAGTGCAAAAGTGCCAGGAAAACTACTATTGGGAAAAGATGATTACAATGCTTCCTCGGTGGGTCAAAAGACCCGCAGTGATCCATCATAAGAGATCTGCTTGTCTAACCTGGCAAACGATTTGTGGCTGCATCACTGGTTCCCAAATGGGAAACAAAGCAGTTTATTTTGTTGGATAAATGACATTTAAAAGCAGCTGAGAAAAGCTGGAGCCAAAGTTGAAGAATGTAAGATGATCACAATGCGGCAAGTTTTATGCAGTCCAGAGATGAAGTTGCCACTCCATTAATTAGAGGTTCAGTGTGCTTTCCTAAGCCATTTTCATTGTGCCTAAATTAACCCATGCAGATACTTGATTCCAGATGGGAAGGGACCAAGATTACTTAAACTCCCCCCAGCTTTCATTGATGTCCTATCTTGTTCCACTAATATAGACTTTGCTATAAGAGATGAAAAGCCGATGCAATCCTAAAATGCATTAGCAGAGCAATACAATCAAGATCAAGGGAGGTACTAATACCACTTTATAAAGCCCTAGTAAGACCACACCAAGAGTACTGCATCCAGTTTTGGTCACCACACTATACAAAAGATGTTGAGACTCTGGAAAGAGTGCAGAGAAGAGCAACCAGGATGATTAGGGGATTGGAGGCTAAAATGTAGGATGAACGGTTGCAGGAACTGGGCATGGCTAGTCTAGTAAAGAGAAGGACCAGGGGAGACATGATAGCAGTCTTCCAATATTTGATGGGCTGCCACAGAGAGGAGGGGGTCAAGCTATTCTCCAAGGCACCTGAAGGCCAGACAAGGAATAATGGATGGAAACTCACCAAGCAGAGATTCAACCTAGAAACGAGGAGAAATTTTCTGACGGTGAGAACCATCAACCAATGGAACAGAAGTTGCCTTCAGAAGTTGTGAGAGCTTCATCATTGGAGGCTTTCAAGAAGAGACTGGATTGCCATCTGTCAGAAATGGTGTAGGGTCACCTGCTTGGGCGGGGGGTTGGACTAGATGACCTACAAGGTCCCTTCCAACTCTGTTAATCTGTAGATGATCAGGCCGAGCCCGAGGGAGGAGTCAAGCACGTCATCAGTTTAGAGTCCCTTTGCACCCACAAGAGAGCTAAATCCAGCCCTCTCTTGACCCATTATCTTCCATTGACCCATATCTACCATCAATTAGCCTTCACCCTTATGAGATCAGATTCTTGTTTAGTGGTAGCATGAAATAAGCTTATATCATTTTGGACCTAATTCTGGCTCCTGATTTCTTGTGATTGACATTAACTGCACTATTTTTTCACCCCCAAAACTTTCTTGTGTTGCAAAAAAAAAAAAAAAAGGTCAGAAAACTGAATTCTGCATTCGTGATTTTTTGAGTTTCTGATCTGCTTTCATGAAATCATCTATTCTTCCAGTAGCCCTTAAACTATATCCAAGCAGCCTGTTTAAATAGTATCTAGCTATTAAAGAGTAAAGGCAGTAAAAAAAAAAGAGAAAGGAATAAGAAAGGAAAAAAAGCAAAAGTGCAGAAAGAAAGAAGAAAAAGGAACAGAAGGAAGGAGCTTGCGAGTTCCTTTGCAGCAAATGTAAGTACAATTTTTTAAAAAAACGTTCTTGTAATTTTCTTGGCTACAATAGAGCAGTGGGGTTGATGTTCAACTTTTCAATTGAATATACAATTTCCTGGTTATTTTCCACCTTATTAGTCCTGATCCTGCTTAACTTTTTTCCAAGATCATTTAAGATTAGCTAAGTGTTCCCCTAGGAATAAATAAAACTCAAACAAGCCAGACAGCAGGCATAACATCTGGCTTCAACCCACATCTTTCAAAACACAAAACTTTTCTTCCTTCTTTCTCTTCTGACGCTTCATGGCCTGTTGTTAAAAGAATTTTCTTACTCTATGTGCAACCCCAGGGGGGGCCAGGTTACTTACTTGTGTCAATGAAGACAGCATCCACATAGATTTTGGTACAGAAAGATCCCAGGATAAATCCACAGGCCGGTCCAAACACCAGCATTGTAAACAGGATCCCTGCAAAGAAACACAGAATAACACAGTGAAGATTACGGCAAGAAAAGGGACTGTCCCGTGGGAAACTTCATTCTGGAGAGTGTGGAACTCACACCATTGGACATTCTCAATGTGTTCTGACATAGGCTCGGTTTAAAAAGCAGGAGGCAGGAATTACTGGCAAAACTGCAATTACTGCAGGTTCGAATCTCACCAAGGCTCAAGGTTGACTCAGCCTTCCATCCTTTCTAAGGTAGGTAAATTGAGGACCCAGTTTGTGGGGGCAATAAGCTGACTTTGTATAAATATACAAAAGGATGAAGGCTATTGCTTAGCGTAGTGTTTCCCAAATGTGGGAACTTCAAGATGTATGGACTTCAACTCCCAAAATTCCACAGCCAGCCATGCTGGATGGGGAATTCTGGGAGTTGAAGTCCACACTTCTTAAAGTTCCCAAGTTTGGGAAACACTGGCTTAGCGCATTGTAAGCCGCCCTGAGTCTCCGGAGAAGGGCGGCATATAAATCAAATTTAAAAAAAAAAACCTCTTTTATTTACACGACTGTGAATTACGTTCATTCACAGTCAGCAAGGTTTGCCCAAACAGTTTTTCAAAGGAATATTTATCAACACAGACCTTATCTCACTTGGAAGGCTGCCAGGTAACTAGTTTCCAAACACAGTACAAGGCAAAACTTGGCACAGAGTCTCTCAGAGTCACGGAATCAACGAATTGTTTCCTGCAAAAGCCCTCTCCCTGTTAGCTCCTCTTTTGTTTCCTATGGGAGGGGGACAATCACCTCCAAGGTGTGGCTTTTACTCCTGAGTCGACCCTGCTTTCTTAATTGTTCTTGTTTTCTGGCAGTTCTGCGCATGCACACACTGGGAACAGGCTCCAGCTGTTCCTCTGCCTCACTGCTGTCTAGCTCCCTCTCTGCCTCCAATACAGAGCCCTCGTCCGAGCTTTCCCCAGCCCCCAGGACTGGCCCAAGTTCCTCCCCAACTTCCTCACTGTCCAACTCTGCTTCCAGCTTTGCTGGCCGCTGGAAGGCCACAACACAATTATCCAGATCATGGTTGTCCCAAAAGACAAGTGGACTTTCTTGATATAAAAACATTCTTTTCTGTTTGAGTAAGCTCTCTGTTAGACAGATTTCTCACCCATCGGTCAGTTCTCTGTGACGTGTCACTGTCCTTTCTCTTCTGGTCTTTTGTGTTTTTTTTCATATTGTAGGGTAGAAAACTTGGTTTTCTGTCTTTCTTTGCTCTTGTGTTGCAACCAAGAAAGTCTTCTTGTCTTTTGGAAAAGCACCTTTGGGTCACAAAATGGAAGGTTTTTTTTTTTTTTTCTGGGACCTCCAATCTTGCAAGGCGGGAAGTAGAATTCTAAAAGATGAGAATATTTGTAGATCAGGGCTGAAATGAGGTGTCCTTGGTGCTCTCTGATCTTGGTTTCTTGCAGATGTTTCATTACCCAACTAGGCAACATCATCAGTGCCAAAACAGAGAGCAAACCCCACTCCCTTCTAGCATGATGATGTTGCCTAATTGGGTAATGAAATTCTAATCTGTCCTTCTGATATATTAATTTTGTAAATAATTTTGAGCAGAGTAGCAATCACTCCTTCAAACAGAGCACTTGGTCCTGCTCTTGTTTTCAAGTTATTGCGGAGATGAACCACTTAAGAATGTCCCATTTCCCCCACTCCATCCTGCTCCACGGAAACACTGAATGTATATAGCCCCCCACCCCAATTGCAACCAAGTTGTAATTCTTAATGTGATGGAAAGAGAACACTCTTAAAATACACAGAGCACGATCATATTGAGACATGTTAATTAAATTCAAATTACTGTGAAATTAAATCAAATTTAGTTTTTGATCCATCCCCCCCCTCCCATTTCTGGTCTCATCAATATTAATTGTCAGCGGCTCCCAGCAGATTAGTCAAAATCCTAATTAGAAGGTCGCTAGATAAATTATGCCAAGCAACTCAGCCCTTTCAATGCCTCTTGCTTGATAGATGATGGATGCGTTTCTTAGATGACAAGACCTGATCATTCTTTTCAGGGGTAAGAATATAGATCCTCCATGTTCAGAGGCAGTTTACCAGCAAGTAGAAGGACCAGCAAGGGATGCGGTGGCTCAGTGGCTAAGACGCTGAGCTTGTTGATTGAAAGGTTGGCAGTTCAGCGGTTCGAATCCCTAGTGCCATGTAACAGGGTGAGCTCCCGTTACTTGTCCCAGCTTTTGCCAACCTAGCAGTTCGAAAGCACATAAAAAATGCAAGTAGAAAAATAGGGACCACCTTTGGTGGGAAGGTAACAGCGCTCCGTGTGCCTTTGGCGTTGAGTCATGCCGGCTACATGACCACGGAGACGTCTTCGGACTGCACTGGCTCTTTGGCTTTGGAAACGGAGATGAGCAGCGCCCCCTAGAGTCGGGAACGACTAGCACATAATATCACATGATTGTCCCAGAGTCCTCATGGTCACATGATCAAAATCAGGGACTTGACAACCGGCATATAAGTCAACATTTGTGACCTTCCCAGAAAGCTTCTGACAAGCAAAGTCAATTGGAGAGGTCAGATTCGCTTAATGACTATAATCCTTACTTAACTGCAGTGATTCACTTAACAACTATGCCATAAAATCTGATAAAATTGGGTGCAACCCATTGAATAATCACCTTGCTTAGCAACAAAAATTCTGGTCCCAATTGTTGTAAGTCAAGGACTATTTGTATGACGGACAAATTTCAGACCTGGGGTTTGGACCCGATCAGGTAAGAGAAGATCAGATTACAAGGTGCCTGGAGGGGCTCCATTTTTTTAGAATTAGAATTAGAATAACAGAGTTGGAAGGGACCTTGGAGATCTTCTAGTCCAACCCCCTGCCCAGGCAGGAAACCCTACATCACTTCAGAAAAATGGTTATCCAACATATTCTTAAAAACTTCCAGTGTTGGAGCATCCACAACTTCTGGAGGCAAATTGTTCCATTAGTTAATTGTTCTAACTGTCAGGAAATTTCTCTTTAGTTCTAAGTTGCTTCTCTCCTTGATTAGTTTCCACCCATTGCTTCTTCTCCTGCCCTCAGGTGCTTTGGAGAATAGCTTGACTCCCTCTTCTTTGTGGCAGCCCCTGAGATATTGGAAGACTGCTATCATGTCTCCCCTAGTCCTTCTTTTCATTAAACTAGTTTAATGAAACTAGTTGCAGGGTTGCAGGAACTACCCAGTTCCTGCAACCCTTCTTCATATGTTTTAGCCTCCAGTCCCCTCATCATCTTTGTTGCTCTTCTCTGCACTCTTTCTAGCATCTCAACATTTTTTTTACATCGTGGCGACCAAAACTGAATGCAGGATTCAAAGTGTGCCCTTACCAAGGCCTTATAAAGTAATATTAACACTTCACGTGATCTCGATTCTATCCCTCTGTTTACGCAGCCTAGAACTGTGTTGGCTTTTTCGGCAGCTGTTGCACACGGCTGGCTCATATTTAAACGGTTGTCCACTAGGACTCCAAGATCCCTCTCACAGTTACTACTATTGAGTATTAATTTGAGGGAAATTAATGTATTAAATAAACCCAGTGCAAAATTGGACTAATCATTGGCTATTCCTATGAAGGAAATTTTGAAGCCTTTTTCCTCCTAAGATCCTACCACTAGAGGATGCTAAAGCAAAAGAAGAAGGAGAGAAGGAAAAAAGAGAAAGATTGAGGAGGGGAAAAAAAAGAGGAACATGGGTGGGAATCACAATCCCAAGGTATACTTTTCCAGGATCAATCTTTTGCAATTTCAGGTAAAGTGTAAAAACAGCCTGCCTGAAGTTCTGGAAATCCCCTGACATTCATGATTGCTGACATTGGGGTGGAGGGGAAGGACTAGGGGTTGGACTTGAGAAGAGAACTTTCTTAAAAGACTGACAAATTACCAACTAATAAAGGAGAATATTTGTAGCTCAGGGTTGAAATATGGGGTCCTCGATGCTTTCTGAGCTTTAATGTTTTCTTGTTAGCACTGATAATGTTACCTACTTCCGATAATGAAACATCTGTAAGGAAATCATCAACTTTTATATAATCTTCTCTTCCAGATTTGAGTTGGTTAAGTGGGACCCTGTTATACTGTTTGCTGATCAACTGAACCAAGTTCCTAGTCCTCCAGATAGAGGCCAGATTCTGCAGCATCCAGGGCATTGCAAGGATTTGACCGTGAAATGCATGTGAAGGGACCAATGGCTTGAAGGGATCAGAAATATCTGCAAAATCTACAGGTTTATTGAAATAAGTGTCTGCAGAATCTATAGGCTTATTGAAATGACCAAATCAGGGTCATCGTGCAAACTCTGTCCCTTATGCATGTGTCTGCAAATCGAGACACAATGTTGTGGCCCCGCCCTCTGAGCCTATCCCATCGGAGGAAGAAAGCTCCGAGCATGAGGAAGAGGAGTCAGCCAGGCCTCCCTCTCCAGGCCCCTCCCCTCTGGCACTGTCTCAGGAGCTGGCCGAGGGAGAGGAGATTAGCCGGGAGACAGGTGTCTCGGATGAGAGTGAGGGAGAGACGTCATTCCTGGACGCACGCCTCCGAAGGCGTGATAAACGATTGCAGCAGCTCAGGAGGCGTGCTAGGGATTAGAACTGAGTCACTGGACCACACCCCAGAGACTATATAATAGAGGGTGGTGGCCAGTGATCCTTGAGACGAACAAAACTAACCTTGGATAGTCACTAAAGCCTCGTCCGAAACTGCTGAGAGGAATGTTATTTCTGTTGGACTCTTGTACGCTGAGTATATTATCTTTCTGTTTTCTGTGGAAATAAAAGCACTTGGCAGACGGTGTGTATATCGCTGCCAAGTTGGAGATAAAGACCTGGGTGTGTTCCAAGTGCTTCCTTAACCCTCGGCTGGCTGTGTTTGTGTGTGTGTGTGGACGGGGACAGATCACACAAGTGCAGAAAACTTGGAACTTACATCATGATATCACGATGCTCATTTGTCCCCTACACACCTCTC